TGTTTCGTTTCGACGATAATGTGATGCGCCTCTTTTATACCATGTTTTAATTTATACTCTGATGAAACTTTTCTTAATTGCTTATATGATTTTAATTGTTTGTTTGGGGGTATAGAAAGGGGGTGTTACATCCCTCTTCACCGCAGTTGAAATAAACCATTCCCTTGCACTTGCACTCAGAAATAGCATGTTCAAGCTCACTGCAACGGTAACATCTCACTGATCCAGAAGTACACACATTACTCTTGTGACCAGGTTTCCCACACTTGTAGCAAACAATACCAACATGAGCATCTCCCCTACTAGTTTTCTTGCCGTCAGTTGCTCTCTGTTTTCCTTTACCAACTGAAGGATCATAATGCTTACCACGATTTTGATGTGACTTGCCTCTCCTCTCACTCAACAGCTTGTAATGAGCATTGCTATCTTCTTCATAAATTCTACAGCTCTCAACCAATGAATCAAAGACACGGATCTTCTGATACCCAACTGCTTTCTTGATCTCAGACTTCAACCCGTTCTCAAACTTGATACATTTAGAGAACTCAGCAGTCTCTGCGTTGTAGTGCAGATAAAACTTAGCCAACTTTTTGAACTTCGCATCATACTCAGTAATGGATTTGTCTCCTTGCTTCAGCTCGAGAAAATCAATCTCTTTCTTACCACGAACATCTTCCGGATAATACTTCTTCAGAAATTCCCTACGGAACACAACCCAAGTGATTTCCTCACCTGTAGCTTTCAATACCGGACGAGTCTCTAGCCACCAGTCATCAGCTTCGACTTCTAGCATATGAGTCCCATAACGAACCTTCTGCACTGGAGTGCAATCCATCACACGAAAGATTCGCTCCATTTCTTTCAACCAGTCCAGTGCACCATCAGGATCATGCTTACCCTTAAAGGTAAGCGGATTCTCCCGCTGAAACGTTGCCAAACTGCGAGATCCAGCATCTCCAACTGGATTCGACTGATTTTCTATAGCATTAGCTATAGCTTGAAGAGCAGCAGCAATTGCAGCATCATTCCTTCCAGCCATTTCGACTTAAACTGCAGCAAACTACAGCTAGATCTTACAAACAACGACACTCGATTACTAGACACGACGACTGACTCAATAACTTGGTCGAATGGAACGACCTGCTCTGATACCACTAATGTAACACCCCAATGCTAACGCAGCGGATAACAACAAAAACCAGAGTGCATCAGAGATGTCACACTTTCAACTTAACAGATAACATGCAAGTATCAAATTATTCAATAACATACATAGCACCATTCGGATGAACCGTCAACAATAACCTGTTTAGTATTTTAATTATAAGACAACCTATCATTTCATTCGTTCCATTAAATAAACTTCCGAACAACAATAATGACCAAGACAAACAATAAAGGGTTTACATCGGAATTCCATAAAAATTCAGCAAGTAATAATCTTGCATCAATTCCCGAAACAACTAGTTTTGACAAAGCAACCAACTTGACAAAAGTATTTAGTAAAATTCAGCAACAATAAAATCAATTAAATAACAAAATTAATCGTTCATCCCTCCCCAAGAGTGCTACATATCAGAGCGACCGACGACACCTTACACGATGTGACACCTTATTCCAGGTTACCTGCAAGTTACCACCAATGGAGGTAACATACAACGTAAAGGGTGAGATATCAACATTATAACATAAGACATGATAGAAATCATGTCTGAATCACATCACAGCATTATAATCTTTGCAAATTTACAAACATTATCGACAATAATTTGTAAGAAAATCCATATCTCATACATACAACAATGATATACAACCAACATAACGATGCGACATCATGTGACTCAACTATGCACATGCATGTGGTACCAATTCGGAGCAATACTCCACAACCAATTTATTTGCCATTAAAGGCCGCCAATACAGGCACAACCAACGCCAATACAGGCACAACCAACGCCAATACAGGCCAACCAAGATGATATGCCATGAAATGCATCTATTATGGACTAGAACACAACCATAACAACCATACAACAAGGCCTTTAGCCTACAACCGACCTGTCCATAACAGAGCATCACAATTTCATACAACTCAAGAAATCATCATTTTCCACCTGTTCATGTACGAGAACAATAACAACATCCTTTCGACAGTTAAGGATTCAAAGTGTTTTCGCAAGAACGACATTACTACTTTTACTCACATATTTAATTATAGGTTCAACTATACAATATCATGCAATACTACTGACAGATAAACTTTCCTCAGACACAGACAAACTTCGTCCCTAATATTTATCATTTAATGGAAACTATACCTATGATTCGATTCCCTACATGAAATCGATCATACACACGGTTATAGAATTGAACCCCACCCTTACCTTAGAATTGAGGCCAACTCTAACTCCCGGTTCCGGTTCTGCTCTCCGGTGACTCTTCTGCAACTATCTTCCAATTTCTCTGATGGATAATTCTCTGTTCTCAACTTCTCTCAACCACGTTACTTTTTCTCTTCGGTTTATGTTTTTCCACAAATGAAAACGGAATTGAGAGTAAGTGGAAATACGGAATAAGTTGGTTCCATTTTCTCAGCCTTTCGTGGACACGATCACATTATGCCGTTACGCATTTTGTTAGTGTGACGAACGTGATGAACATCACGGCTGTGACATCCATGACGGTCGTAACGACCGTGACAAGCTCGTGACGAGCGTCACATCAGCAAAATCTCATTTCTGCTCTTTCATTCCCGTTTCGCACTAACAGTCCAAACTCTCGACTAATCTTTATCCAACACACTCGAATATGACTACGGCACGACGAGACACGACAACAATTCATAATTAAATCAATCGAAATAAAACGGGCGTTACAGTAAGGAGATCTTAGAGGATGACCTTTCTGATGCTCCTCGCTTCCTTTAGGCCAGCGTTGATTACGATTGGCTTTCCTTTACTACCAAGATTAATGTCTACGAGGAATCATGTGAGAGTACGACCAACGATAATAACAAATATAACTAAAGACAACTCCGCATTCAGGGCTCCATTTATCTTCTTACGATCTAGAAACCCTATGATGTTCCGTCTTTGCTTCTCGATCAAATAAATTCTAAAGCTTTGGTTTTTATATCAAAAACTAATTATTTAACATCTCAATTGACTTTCCTTTATTGCTAAGATTAATGTCTATGAGGAATCATGTGAGAGTGCGGCCAACGATAATAACGACTATAACTAAAGACAACTCCGTACTCAGGGCTCCATTTATCTTCTTGCGTCTAGAAACCCTATGATATTCCATCTTTGCTTCTCGATCAAATAAATTTTAAAGCTTTGGTTTTTATATCAAAAACTGATTATTTAATATCTCAATTTCAATTTTTTTAATATCTCATTTTCATTCCAATTTAGCATAATTTGATAATGCGTCACAAATTTTAATAAGGTAGAATTGTCTATGTCTAGGGGTCAAAAACGATCAAATTCAGATGAAAAATAGTAAATCCGAATGAAACTGTAGGTAGTTATTCTTCGACCGTTTCAAGCAGCGGATATGGCGAGTCAGTATATTTGAGTGATGATGCGCATAAACAACCAAAATGACTCTTAGTCCGTTGAAGTAAAGATGGTAACTTTTGAATAAATCTAGCATCTTTTATTGTTGACATAAACATCATCTTTTGTTGTTGGCATAAACACATGGAGAATGGAGACGGTGTTGTACAACCTTACTTTGATAGAGAAGAACAACAACATCAATGGTGGTTTTGAAAGAGAGAATAAGTGAAAGAGAGTGAAGATAAAAGATTTATTGGGGTGAAATGAGAGAAAATAAAAGGTTTTAAATTTATTTCTTGAAAAGAGTTGAAATAGTGCATGATAATGGTGTATCACTTTATTGTAGATGTAGTATTGATTTTGCACCACATATTCAATTGCATTGAGATATGTGTCTATTTTATGACGTGTTTTGGTCATTCAGGTGTACTATCTACAAATATAAAGTATTAATAGGATTTGACATCACTTATTAAGATAAGTTAAACCTTATTGAAATTAAAAGTAAAAGAATGGACTCACATTTTCGGTTCCTCTTGAATTGCATTAAGATGGATTAGATATTATCATCCGATTTCAACCATGAGAAACTATATAAATTCGAATTTTCAAAATTTTGACCCCAACCTCCGAATTAAACCAACCGTTTCATTAATATTTAATTCGAATATAGCAATTTTGAAGGGTGTCGGATTGTTGTCCACCTTTTAACAGAAATGCTATGTTGACACCAAAAACACACTATACCGTATGTACTATTTACGAATACGGTGAACAATACATGAACAGTGCGGAACAATGTTACAACAGTATAAACAATATCATGAATGATGCATGAACAGTGACTCGTGAACAGTGACTCGTGAACAGTATTCGTGAATAGTTTTTTAACTTATGAAACAAAATTGGTTATTGAGATATAAAAAATTGATTAATGAATTGATGAAATGGGTTAATAAATGCTCAGAATTAAAAATAATTTTTAACAGTAAATAAAATTGGTTAATAATATGTAAAATATTAGTTAATGAAGTTGGCTAATCACATAATTTTATATTAGTATCATTTAATTTAAAAATAAAATTAATTAATTTTTTATATTTTAAAAAAATATATATTTAATTTTATAATATTATGGATGAACCGTGTAAAATACGTATAGATGTAAAAGATGGTCATTTCTTTTTCTTCCAAACTCCCTAAGTAAGTTCTTAGAAAATACTAGCTGTCTGTAATGCACTGTTCGAGTGGAAATTATTATTCATGTCGCGAATCTTGACCCAAGACACTAACCTTCACACAATTTCTTTTCCTTTTCCTTTCCATCTTTTCTTTTTTATTTTTTCTGAAATTCGCCGCTGCTTTGGCTTTTAAACCCGTTGTTAGAAAGGTTTTGCCCGCTGCTTTTTGTTTTCTGCAATTTTCCGATTCAATAAAATGAAGAATGAAAGTTCTTCTTCATCCTCATCAAAGTTGGGATTTCCATCTATGAAAAAAGGTGAGTTGATTATTCTATTTAATTATACGTTGCATGAATTTAGTTTGAAGCCATACATTTGTTGATTTTTTTCTCTCTTTTTTATTTATAGAAATAGATTATGGCAGGATCCTATACCCGCAAGAATATGTATACCACAGCATTCCTTCACCAACTTCATCCGCATCTAAATTCGTGCCAACTATGGAAGAAGGTGATGAATACATTATTTTATTTTATTCCACATTTTATGAATTTAGTTTGAAGCCATACATTTGTTGATTCCTTTTCTCTCTTTTTTATTTTTAGAAATAAATTATAGGCAGAGACGTTGTTACTACAGCGCTTCATTAACAAACCGATCTAAATTCGTGCCAACTATGGATGAAGGTGATGAATAGATTATTTTATTTTATTCCACATTTCATGAATTTAGTTTGAGGCCATATTGACTCTTTTTCTGTTCTAGTTTTTGAGTGGCATGAGCCGGAACCTGAACTTGATCCCGTATCAAAGATCCATGATGTGTTCTTAAGTTTTAGAGGAGAAGATACTCGTGCTACCTTTACTTCACATCTCTATACTGCTCTTCAGAATGCTGGAATTAAGGTTTTTATTGACGATCATGACCTTCAAAGAGGAGATCACATTTCACCGTCATTATCACTAGCAATCCAACAGTCTCAGATTGCTATAATTGTTTTCTCCATAAATTATGCCGATTCACGATGGTGTATGGATGAGTTGGTAAAGATAATGGGGTGTCACAGAACCCTAGGACAGCTAGTTGTGCCAGTGTTTTACCATATAGATCCCTCTGAAGTGCGTCGTCAGAGAGGCCAGTTTGGAGAAGGCTTTCAACGTCTTTTGAAAAAAATTATGAACGAGATGGAATTCTTTCAGGCATGGAAGTTGGTGATAAGTTGGAGAGCTGCGCTTTTTGAGGCAGCTAACATAGCAGGGTTTGTAATACTAAACTCCAGGTATAATTTTCTTACACAAACTTCCCCTCTACTTTTATATATAATATAAACATGCTTTCGTGTATACATATGTACATTTTATGTGTGTAGGAATGAAAGCGATGATATCAAAAGAATTGTTAACAAAGTTTCACATTTGCTAAACAAGACTGACTTGTTCGTTGCCCACAATCCTGTGGGAGTTGAATCTCGAGTGCAAGAAGTGATTCAACTTCTTCAACCCGATCTTCAAACAAAGAAAGTTCAACTACTTGGGATATGGGGCATGGGGGGAATTGGCAAAACAACTATTGCAAAAGCCATTTACAATAAAATTGGCTGCCAATTTGAAGGTAGGAGCTTCATTGCAAATATTAGGGAACACAATGAGAAAAGTGCTGAACTAGTGGGTTTACAAGAGCAACTTCTATTTGATATCTTCAAAGGAACAACAATGAAGATACCAAATATTGAGTCAGGAATGAACACATTACAGTGTAAATTAAGTAAAAAAAAAGTACTTATTCTACTCGATGATGTGAATACGTTAGAGCAATTGAATACTTTCTGCGGAAGTTCTCAATGGTTTGGTCCAGGGAGTATAATAATCATCACAACCAGAGATATGAACTTACTTGGAGGGAGAGTTGACAAATTATACAAAATGACTATAATGAACGAAAATGAATCAATTGAGCTTTTTTGTTGGAATGCATTTAAGCAAGTGACTCCTCGAGAAGATTTTGCTAACATTTCCAAAAATATAGTTGAATATTCTGGGGGATTGCCACTAGCTCTCGAAGTCCTTGGATCTAATTTGTTTAATAAGAAGCTATTAGAGTGGGGATTTGTGTTGGAGAAACTCAAAAGAATTCCTAATTGTCAAGTGCATAAGAAGTTAAGAATAAGTTATGATGACTTAAATGATGATGACGTGAAAGAAATATTCCTTGACATAGCTTGTTTCTGTATTGGGATGGACCGAAATGATGTGATACTTGTATTAAATGATTGTGGACTTTCTGCAGAAATTGGAATACGGGTTCTTGTTGACCGTAGCCTTGTGACTATTGATGACAAGAACATGATTGGAATGCATGATTTGCTGCGGGATATGGGAAGAGAAATCATTCGTGAGGAATCACCAAGGGTGCCTGAAAAGCAGAGTAGGTTGTGGTTTCCGAAGGATGTCATAGAAATTTTATCAAGACAAACGGTAAGAACTTAATATACTATATATACTTTTTTATCTTTTCTATCTTGTTTTTGTTGATTATCACGATATCATTAAAAATTAATTTGGTTATGAATCTTTGTGTTTTGTGACTTCTAGCTAGTAACAAATGCTTTCTTTCATGGCAAGTTTTTATACATGCATTGTTGCTTTATTTTTTTTAAACATTTTTGTGTTTTTTATTTTTGGTCCATAATATTTGACAGGGGAAAAAAAGTGTTATGGGATTGGCTTTGAAGTTGTCTAGGGAAAATGCAAAATGTTTTAGCACCAAAGCATTTCAAAAAATGAAAAGGCTCTACTTGCTTCAACTTGCAGAGGTAAAACTTGATGGAGATTTTGAACATGTTTCAAGAAATCTGAGATGGCTGTTATGGGATGGATTAAGTCACATACCTACAAACTTCTTTCGAGAAAATTTGGTTTCCATCGAGTTAAAGAACTGCAATGCGGAACTTCAATGGAATAAGACTCTGGTATTGTTTTTCATTTTAGTTTTTCACACTTCATTTTATCACTTCTCATATTTTTGGTTGAAGTTTAAATATATAAATCATAGCCTTTCACGGTAATAATTAATTTTTTAATCTGGTTGTGATAATGGAACTTTTTTAACCATTTAACAATTAATATAGTTGGATGATAGCGAAAAGAAGGGGGCAAAAATAGTTGATTTTTTACTATTTGATTAAAAAAACTCTAAATTTACATTTCAAATTTATGAGCTCAGTAGAATTCTGAGACAATGGTTAATAACTTATGCAATATTATACGCAGAAATTTGCCTTGTTTCAAAGATTTTTCATTGATATTAAGCATTTAAAAAATTACTCTGTAAATGTTTTATTTTCCATTCTTATGGTTAGTGATATATTTTAATTCTTTCTATTTGCTTTTTGAAGTCTCTTCCCTAAGTTCATTAATAATATTTATGCCCTTGCAGATGATGGAGAAGCTGAAGATTCTCAATCTTAGTCATTCTCACCATCTCACACAAAGTCCTGACTTTTCAAACATGCCTAATCTTGAAAAGCTAATACTTAAAGATTGTCCATTGTTGTCTGAGGTTTCTCCTAGCATTGGACATCTCAAGAAAATTCTTCTAATAAATTTGGAAGATTGTATTAGCCTATGCAGTCTCCCAAGAAGCATATATAAGTTGAAATCTCTGAAAACTCTCATTCTTTCGGGTTGTTTAAAGATTGAAAAGTTGGAAGATGTAGAACAAATGGAATCTTCAACCAAAGTTCCCTTTTCAGTGATAGGGTCCAAAAGCATTGGATATATTTCTTTGTGGAACTATGAAAGATTTTCATGTGATGTGTTTTCATCTATAATTTGGTCTTGGGTGTCACCAACATATAGTCTCCCCTCCCAATTTCAAACATCTACTATCATGTCATCTCTTGATAGTTCTCAAGAACTATCAACTTTTTCTAACTACCTTCCGAGGCTTCGAAGTCTTTGGGTGGATTTCAAATCTGAAGATCAACTTGCTTTACATGCTAAAATAATTTTGGATGCTTTATATGTCACAGTTTCTAAGGATTTGGAATCAACTGCAACTACATCACAATTATCAAGCAGTAGTCAAGTGCATGTTTTAGGATCAATACATTGCTTGAAGTCTCTTTTAGTTCAAATGGGAATGAATTGCCAAGTCACTAATTTTCTGAAAGAGAAAATTTTACAGGTTTGACAATCTCTCTCTATCCCCCCCTTTTTATGATATCAGTCATTGACAACTTACATGACATATGTATCGGTTTATTGAAGAATTATGGTCTTTACTCTTTTTTTTTTTTCTCTTTTGTGATATTGTTTAATTTAAATGGCTCTGATACCATCATAGAGTTGTGGTTTGACTTAACTTAGTCATACAAAACCGATTCATAAGATGAAGATTACCCTCATTTATAAAAATATGTTAAAGTCACATCATGTGAGGAGGGATTTTTAACACATAACTGAAATGTCAGTTATTTTATAAGCAAATTATTCTGTTAAACCTTTAGTGATGCATAAGAAGTGCGAGTGTTAAGAACAACAAGAACTTTCATATTTGAATACTTGTTGAGATGGAAGGGAACACTAAAAGTAAATCATTGGAACCACGCCTTAATGAGCTGTAATTTGTTGACATTACAAAATATTTTACAGCAAATACTTCTGACCCATGAGTTTTGCTTTTGGTGGTATGTAGAGTTGTGACACCTTTTGCATGCACTTTGTTTATAGAAATTGACATTGTTAAACCCTTACATTTTTCGATATTTTAGAGATTGATACAATTTGTCATTATTATTATTATTTTAGGTTGGACTAATAGTCTGTTTTATGAGTCCAAGCAAATGTTTATGTGTAACTTGGAAAAACATAACATCTAAATATTATAAGTTACCCTGTGAGGAAAATTATACCTTAATTGTTGAATAAATTGATAAGGTGGTATTAGTATACTTGTCTATTAAATTTTTAACTTAGCTTTACTTTTACAGAACATGGATGTCAATGAGAGCGATGGTTGTTTTCTCCCCGGTGATAACTATCCAAATTGGATAACCTTTTTTGGTTCTGAAACCTCTTCTGTAACCTTTCAAGTCCCTCAAGTGGAAGAGCGTAACTTGAATACAATGATGTGCGTTGTCTATACTTCCACTCCAGACGACATAGCATCCGATGGGCACCTTAAAAGTGTGTTGGTGAAAAATTACACAAAGAGTACCATTCAGCTTTATAAGAGAGAGACATTAGCCTCCCTTGAAGACGAGGAGGGGCGGAGGATAGTATTGAGCATGGAACCCGGTAACAAAGTGGAGGTTGTCTTTGTTTTTGAGGATGGTTTCATTGTGAAGAAGATTGCAGTTTATCTAGTATATGATGAACTGGTTGGTGAAAAACTGGAGCTACATCATGTACCTGATCTGAGAGGCATTGTTTGTAGAGATGACGAAAATGAAGCTACTGAAGAAGACTTCAATCTTAACAGAAAGAAGAAAAGTCGAGTGAAATGAATCAATGAAAGAGAAGGATGCAGTGTCAGTGTTTCTTAGAGGTGGAGGTTTTAGTTACTTAATTTGTTAGCCTTTTCGTTTGTTTTCGGCATGCTGTTGCTATATTACTTTGTTGGAACTTTAGTTGAGTGGAGTTGCATAGCTGATGTAAACTTGATCAGGGGTTTGGTTTCTCTGTTTTTCTGCTGCAAGGAGCCTTTGGAAGCATATTTAGGCTATTTCCCTTTTCTTTCTTTTGTATTTGATATGGATTTCTCTTATTTAGGCTATTTCCCTTTCTTTCCTGATGTAAACTTTAGTTTTTGTCTCCTTATTTAATCTCATTTGTGATTTTACTTTCACCTTTTTCATCCACATGTACATTTCAGATTGAATTTTGATAGACATTTAACAGGCTTATGTGGTAGTTGAGTTACTCACGTGAAATGTGGCAACTATCTCACACATATACACACGAAAATTTCATATTTTTGAAAATTTAGTAAAATATTTTCAATTTAGTTAAAGTTTTATCTTGACAAAGCATATATGAATTTCATTTAATGACACTTAAACTGTAACAAATATATAATGAGATCGATTGGATGTTGGACATTGAAGAAATAGTTTACCTGAAATTTGTAAGACACATGCATGAGTGTGAAAGTGTGTTTGAAAAAAAAATCCTTAAAATTCTATTTTGGAGGTGTTTTAGACTGGGCCGAGGCTTATCCAACACTCAACCAGGCCCAGAATCCCTGCTAAGACAAACCCAATAGGGCCACGCGACGAGCAAGGTCTTGACGGACACGACGCTTCCCCTGCGTTGAGCACGTGCTCTCAACTGTCGGGAAGACCTCCCAGGCGACCAGTTCCTCCTATCTCTCTCCCTCGTCGGGCAGAACCCAGCCTACCCGGGAAGCCCTCGAGCCTTCCCCCACGTCCTCCACGTGTCCCTCACGCGGGGACACGTCATAAAGTAACTACCCACATTCTGGAGATTCGGTCTTCCTCCTTTTGGATAGCGCGGAGCAGGTACACTAGGGCAAAGACCACGTGCTGGTCTTTACGACGCCACGTCAGCCCTAGCAGTTACTAACATTGGGCCTGATAACCCAGTCCAGTGCTAGGTAACCGTTGGCCCTGCGTTGGGGACTTACTATCCCTCTTCACTAGAGAGTCATGTAACTTAATCTTCTTACTTTCTCTCTGTACTTGCTTCCACTCTGCCCGTTACTTACTTTGACATCGGAGTGTGTTTCAGGTACACCCCCTCCTCTTCAACACCTTGGTGAGCAGCATCCAGATCAACGATGCGTGACAGATCATCGATCCCCTTCTGATCAGGTACGATCAGGAAGAATAACACATTTTAATAATGCTTATATAGTGGAGAATGACCTCTTAAATGTGTCTAAGAGATGCACAGTTTTGTAAAAGGGAGAGAATGTACCACTATAAACCATCACAAGCGCGTATGTCATTTAATTGGAAGCGCGTATGTCATTTAATTGGATGCAAGCGCGTATGTCATTTAATTGGATGGGTTTAAACTTAGGTGATGCACTATTATTTGGTATTCAAAATCAAAAAATAATTAATTAATACTATTTATTTTTATTAAATATGTTATTCTCTTCTCAACATTAATTACTACCAATGTTTTTCACCTTAGAACAATAATTGCCCATATTTTTTTCCTTGCAAACCTAGCCTCTAAGGGTCACTTCCACGATTGTGGGAAGAATGAATCAAATCCTTCATTTGATATTGATACCATATTTGAGTGGTCTCCGTAACTCATATAATATATTTTTATATCAATTATACACTATGGACTAAAAATCCTATCGATTTTGAAGAGAGTTGTTTTTACCATGGAGGCATCGTGCTTATCCTATGTTTTGCACATTTAGGTAGTTTTGCGAAACATCTTATAGAGAGCGATCTAGTCTGCAAATCGATCCTACTTTTTTTTTGATAATATCTTTTCAAAATCGAAAACAACAATTTTAAGATGCTTTCAAAACCGTAAAACAATAGTTTAATAATTCAAGCTTGAGGAAAGTCACTTCAAACGTTGGGGAAAAAAAATCTATTTTTTTTAACCATAAAAAAGGTTGTTAATGTTTTGACCAGTGACATTCTTGTTGTTCCTTCAAGATCAAAGGAACAAACTAACATTAAGAAATTCGTGGATTTATATGAACTATCAATTCTCGTGAATCTTCTGTGAAAATTAAAGAAAAAGATTTACAATTAAGGAAAGAAATTGCCTTATGAAAACATAATCACTATCTTAGTAAAAATTATATAATGAATGGACTCTAAATGATATGTATGATTATTACTGTAACTACGATACTGAAAAATAAGTTTAGTAGGCTTTAAAAAAGAAGTGTGATACCAAAGAGATTAGAGCCAAAAAGTATGGTGCTAGTTGATAAATGAATATCATATACTAGATGAAAGGTTTATGGAGGATCAATATCATGAACTTCAAAAGACTGCTCATGAAATTATTACTAAATGTATGCCCATTAGATGAACAATTTTAAATTGGTGTTATTATTGACCAAACAACCCTTTGGTTAGAAAGATTTCAAAAGTTTGCTCATCAGCCTCCGAATTGAAGAAGAATCTTAGAGACAAGATAAAAAAAATGTAGTCTTAGTTTTTTCAAACAAAAAAAAAAAGAAATTCAGTGCAGTTTTGAAGCTTTTAGCCTTAAAATTTTAACTGAAGAAGTCAATAAAGAATGGTGATAACCACGTTGGAAAATTCCAAGTACAAATGACTCAATGAAAGGCTTCGACATACTGTCTATGTCGACTAAGATGGTTCGATTGACCTATCATATGAGTCGAGACACAGGGTATTTTAATGCCTACGAAGAATGTTTAGGAGGAGTTTCAGGAAAAGATCCACAAGATTAGCATCACTCTCTTTTCAAAACATGTCTAGAACCCAAAAATAGTTTCATAAAACACCTCTTCGACATGTGTCGAGTTTGACACGTTCATCAGATGTTGGGGACTTAAGATATTCTTAAGTCCAAAAAGTAAGTGATGTGAAGGTATCTCAACAACACTATAAAAGTCTACCAAAGGCTCTCGACAGAGGAAGTTAAGAGGTTCAATTGTAGTTATCAGTGAATTTATTAGCATGATGGTTGGTTTTTAGCAGTTTTGTTATTGAAGACACGTAAAAGCAAGTTAGAGTTTCGAAGCATACGTAGTGGAATATGTGTCAGATCCTGGGGATCTATTAGTTTTCGATTGTTACTATTATATTAGCATATAAGTCGATCTAATTGTATGAGATCAAGGTCACAAATTTCACTCATTCTCTATAAAACTAAAGTATCCAAGTTATAAGAGAAACAATTTATGATAAAAGTATGAGAATGCGTCCGCCTTTTAAATTTATTTAAGTCTTTTAAATCAAAGCATTTATTTTATGAAATTTATTATTCTTTTTGTCTATTTTATTGCTTTACAAATTATCTTTAAGAGTTTTTCTAGCTTAATGTTTTAAGTGAACCAAACTCATGATTGTTTAATAAAAATACCAAGAAATAAAATGGTATGCCTAGTGTGACCTGTAACGCCCCGATTTCGATTATTCCCATTTTGTTGAGTCTTTTGATTTAATTGGGTGATTATTATTTTAAATTGTGGAATTTATGTGTTAATATGTTATGTTGCATATTGTGCTATTTTACCGATTTTGAGAGTTTTCGGGGAAAATAGATTGGAGGGTATTTTAGACATTTAGTATTTAATGTTAAGTTGGATATTTTGTGAGAAAATGGATTAATAGATGTTTTGAAAGATATAGAAATAGAAGGAAGATAAAAAGAAGAGAAAGAAAGAGGAAGAAGAGAGAAGAGGAGAAAATAAAGGAAAAGCTTAGATAGCTCAAGATCAACATCTAGGAGTCGATTTAATCAGGTAAGGGTGTGAAATCTTATTATTTTCTCAATGTGTATGATTATGTATGCTTTTGTTGGATTGTTTTGGATTGTTGGAGAGTTTTTACTCATTTTCCATTTTGGGTCGAAATTGAATTAATCGATAGAAACCAGTGTTTTAACGGTTAGAATCGGGAATAAATGGCGTAGTTTAGTCGAGTATAGTCGGGCTAAGATTACTGAAACTTGTAGGTTTTAAATCGGGTGATTTTATGATGATTTGATGATTTTGGACATGAGAGGGTTTTGGAGTTCGCAGACGCTCGCTAGCACGTTCGCTAGGCGAGCAGGTAGCGAAGGTTCGCTAGCGTGTTCGCTAAGTGAGTGGGTAACGAACCATTCCAGTAGACAAAATCAGGGTTCGCTAGCATGTTCGCTAAGCAAGTGGGGTAGCGAGGGGTTCGCTAGGCGAAGCCCCAGCGAGGAGGTAACGAGCAATTCTAGTAGCTCAGAAGCATCCTTCGCGAGCAGGTTCGCTAGGCGAACTGGTAGCGAGTGTTTGCTAGGAGCTCCCTAAGCGAGCAAGCCAGCGAGCATGACAACACAAATTTTCCTTTTGATTCATTCTGTTTCGGTTTGGGGGTTCGGTTGTGATCGACCTCTTTTTGGCGGAGTAGCTTGTGTGTTGTTGATTGATATATTGTGGGTAGCCGTATAGCGTGAATCCTAGATTATGAATCGATTGTGATTATGGTCGTTTGGCAAATATATGCATTGTTTAAATTGATTAAAAATGCATGATGATTGTGATGAATGATGAATATATCATAGAATATACATTGAGATGTATAATTATTGTATGAGATTAGATGAGATGAAAATGCATGAAAATATTATGAATATGTATGCATTTCAAGAAGTGTATGAGGTCATTTTTCATATGAAGCATCATGATATACATTCTTGTACTGTTGATTCCTCGGAGAATCTGTTGAATGACTTGATTTCTCAGAGAATCTGCTGAGTGACTTAATTCCTCGGAGAATCTGCTGAGTGATGTGATTCCTCGGAGAATCTGATGAACGATATGATTCCTAGGAGAATCTGC